AAAAAACCGAACAACTCTAGAGCCCGAAAGCATTCAGGGCCCTAAACCCTAAACCCTAAACCCTAGAAGGGCCTTAATTTGGCAGCAATCGCCTCCGACAGCCGCATTGTGCAAGAGCCCTCCGAAGTCCCAACCGAATCCCAAAGCCACAAACGCCGAATCGCAGAAGCAAGGTTTAGGGTTTAGGGTTTAGGGTTTAGGGTTTAGGGTTTAGGGTTTAGGGTTTAGGGTTTAGGGTTTAGGGTTTAGAAGTCGCTGGGCGCCTTGATTCCGGCCAGGTCACAGCCGATGCTGCAGATCTGAGTCCGAGAAGGCTTTGACCAGGCTCACAGTGCTCACGTGTACTGATGCATACATACTTGGAGGGTCGGGGGACTTAGTAAATGATTATCTTATAGACTTATAAGTACTATAACCCCCCAATTAGGGTCCCTTTTAGGGTACTTACAAGTCTACTTATTACCTACTTACATACTAAGTCTCCCGACGTACATCCACGTGGGCAGTTATAGCCGCATATACACACATACACCTGCTAAGTTCCATGGTGTGGTTTCGTCGTCCGTGTATGTGTGCATGTGCATCTCTGTCCGTCCGTCTGTCTGTCTGCCTGTAATTAAAAGAAAACACTGGCCGAAAACAACGTACCTCGACCTCGCTCTAACGAAACACGTTCGCGGGCCTGTGCACATGTACAGATATAGTTGCATATATGCATGTAGGTATGTCTCTGTGTGTGTGTGCGCGCGCTCGTGCGAGTGCGCTTGTTTTTGCGCTTTTTTTGTCAGGCTTATCGGGAGCTGTGCATGGAATGGAAGCTTCGAGCCAGTCTTATCATATCTCAAGAAAAAGAGAATCCTAACAACCGGTCCCCTAATTTCTGAACCCCAGGCCCTGAACCCCCCGACTACCCTGACCCCCAAAACCCCCGACTACCCTGTAGGCTCCCGGTAGCATGGAGGCCCCAAGGCTTTTGCAGGTGCTTTGGACTACGAATATCTCCTCCAGTGCCTAGGAATTGTTCAGTGCAACTTGCAGAAAACAAGGGACCTTATCACAGTATCCTTATGTTAAGGTTTAGGGTTTAGGGTTTAGGGTTTAGGGTTTAGGGTTTAGGGTTTAGGTTTTTGGCTACTGGACTCAAGTCTAGCCAGACCACGACCTGCAATCATCTTGACTGAAGTCGACAGAACCCCCAAACAAGATACCTCACTTTAAAGACACCCCCAAGGTGTTTCTGGGCATCCGTGCTGTCTGCTCCGCCTTGGTGGGAAGGTGGCTGCAAAGTTTTGAGCAGCTCGTCACGACGCCCGCATTCCTTGCGAAGGTTCGGCTAGGGTTTACATGGTCTAGGTTGAAAATTAAAGGGTCCTTTTTATAAGGGTGCCGTACTATATTGGAGACCTAAAAAGAAACCCTAATTTGGAGAATTAGTCCTTTGCTCTGGGTTGAAAAATCCCTAAACCCTAAACCCTAAATCCTAAACCCAAAAAGGAATGCACCTGGCTTTTCATGCCAAGGCATGGCAGCTTCGAGGGGTAGCCGTCCCGATGCTCTAAGAACATTCTACTTGGAGGTTCATGGGTAGTTATAAGTGGGGTTATGGGGGGTTCCTTTAAAGGTTCCTTTAAAGGGTTCTATAGGGTTTAGGGGGTAGGGGTAGTTATAAGTATGGTTTTAAGTCCCCTAATATGGGTTAGAAGTATAGTTGCCCTACTTATAACCCCACTTATAACTACCCCTGAACCTCCAAGTAGCTTCAAAGCGAGGCCAGCACAGCAAACCTTTGAATCAGGTGGGGAAGTAACCTGACTCTCGCGTCTATCAACATGGCTCTCAGGACTTTCAAAACCACTCGCGCTACTGGTACCAAGACGTGTCCAAAACCGGCCAAGCGGCAGAAGGTAGTTCAGCAGCCTTAATCGGTTTCAAGCGGAGCTTGCTAGGGAGCTGGTGAGAGCTTCAAAAACATATGCTGTTGATGGACGTCTCTGCGCAGCCTTTTGTGATTGACGCCCTCGTCGTCCGGCTGATGGCCCGGAATCGATTGAGCGCGTTGCCCTACATGTCAATGCCCGAGTCAAACGGGCCTCACGGCACTGGCAATCAAAAAGTGCAATCCACCTCCGCAGCATTCCAAACACTGAACCCCAAAAAGCTATAAACCAATCTCCCACAATCCCCAGACGAGATGCAGGTTGATGCCCTGAGAGCCCAACCTGGCAGGGTAGCACCGGGCAGTGCAAGCTGAGCACCCAGGGGTCTTTGTGCCCAAGAAGGAGTGCCAAGCACGCACAGACGTGGGGAACTTCCAGGTACCAGTGCGACTTGGACCCAGACCGCAACAATAGGATTCAAGACCCGCGTCATGCCAGGGCGCTGCACGCAAGGCGAGCAAAGGGCGCTGGGCAGAGTCACTTCTGGCGCCGTGGGGCCCAGAGGGCCTCCAACAGAGAAAACAAGACTCAGTGATGCTGGCAGCGCTGACTGTCCGGTGCCTAGTCGGGAATGGGGGAATGGATCCTTATGATAGTCCCTTGTGGTCCCTTATAGTAGTCCCTATAACCCATTCCCAAACCCTAAACCCTAAACCCTAAACCCTAAACCCTAAACCCTAAACCCTAAACCCTAAACCCTAAACCCTAAACCCTAAACCCTAAACCATTCCCCCATTCCCTACTAAGCACCAAACAGCTGAGGAAAACGGTTTCTAACTCGAGGGCCGGTCAGGGCCCGGACCCTACTTGGAGGTTCATGGGTAGTTGTAAGTATGGTTATAGGGGGTTCCTTTAAAGGGTTCTATAGGGTTTAGGGTTCATGGGTAGTTGTAAGTATGGTTATAGGGGGTTCCTTTAAAGGTTCCTCTAAAGGGTTCTATAGGGTTTAGGGTTTAGGGGTAGTTGTAAGTATGGTTATAGGGGGTTCCTTTAAAGGGTTCTATAGGGTTTAGGGTTCATGGGTAGTTGTAAGTATGGTTATAGGGGGTTCCTTTAAAGGGTTCTATAGAGTTTAGGGTTCATGGGTAGTTGTAAG